GCTCTTCCCGTCGACTGGCTTTTTGGTGGCCCAGATGGAACAAATTTGGGGGCCTTATCTCAGTGCCTCATGGCCAGGTTTTCACATCGCCATTGTCACTGGTTCCTCTCTCTCCCCCACCCTTCCCCCCCCAACACACACAAACACACTCCATCCCCTGTGGCAAATCAAAGGCCAAGGACCAAATAGGCCGTGTAGCCTGAACTCCCCCCTCCTGCTTAGAGGTGAGCTAAAGGACTCCAGGAATATCCCAGGCAAGTTCCTCTCAGGTTCTGCTGTAACCCCAGGATGGGCTGGTAAACAGGTTATGTACCTGAATCTCAAGGCTAATGCCTGGAGACAGGGAGTCATCATTGACACAGGTGCAGGGCACACCTATTGAGTCTTAATCCCTTATAAAAACTTACTTTTTTGTGCTGGGGTATATTTAAAACCCTGAGAATATTTTTTTATTTTCTCTGCAGATGCTGTTAATCCTATGCCCATGGATCGTAGAAGCATTTCAAGGTCAACATATTGTTGTTTAAACAAAAATACATGTAAAAACAATTGCTGCTCCACATCTAATCTGTCAACTTGACCTGTCTTCCCATGACTTAAATGCTGTATGGGGCAAGAACCACTCTCCTGCATAATCATCTACTGATCAGTAACTTGGAGCAAATTGTAGAGATGGGTCTATAAAAATCAGCAAATTGGTGAATTAACTAAAACTACACCCTGAATACATCATTGCCATGAGTGTGGGGCACACCAATTGGGTCTCATTCCCGTATAACAACTTTTTAAATTATTATTATTATTATGCCAGGGTATATTTAAAACCCCGAGAATATGATTGTATTTTCTGTGCAGATGCTGTTAGTCCTATGTCCATAAATGGTGGAAGCATTTAAAGATCCTTCTAAAACCTTTGTTAGTAGAAATTAAATTTCATTTGGCTTGGACCCAGTAGAAAATGTCGAGAGTGGAGCCAAAATGTTTGCCCTACTCCCTTCCTGTTTTTGAGAGCGTGGATAAAAACACACCAAAGCCCCTATGGTCGAACCAAGCGAGATTTAGCAGACACCATATTAGGAGAGGTTGGTGTTGGAACAGGGATTATGAATGCTGTAGATTTAGAGGTAATTAGAAATAAATGGAGTGCTTTATCACATTCCTCGTGGGGAGAGGAATAACTCTTCCGGAAGAATTTATCACATTCCTCATGGGGAGAGGAATAACTCTTCTGAAAGAAGCCCTGTTTTCCAACGCTGTACTGTAAATTTACTTGCGGAAGAACGCGTGGGCAGTGTAGACACCCGGCAAGTTTTTGCGCAAGAACAGCTGTTCTTATGCAAGAAGCCACCAGTGTAGATGTAGGTGTGTAAGATGCTTGCATTGCATCTACACTCATCTACTGGTGGCTGGCTAATGCTGTCATCCTCCCAAAATATTATTTCCCAGGATATAACACATACACGTTGTCCATTATATACCACACGGGTTACATTTTTTAGTTCGTCCCAGACACACGTGTCCAGAGATGTATCTCTGCTGCATGGTTCTGTGGTGGCAGGCAGGGAGAGGCACACCCATCTGCGAGGGGCCCACTCTGTACACTGTTGCGTGTCCAATAATTCTTTTTTTTTTTCTGGCCCACTGACCCATAATGCGGGATAACCAGAAAGATCCCATGGCCAATTTCGGTAGTGAACTGACTTTCCATAAATCTGCCTCCACAGATTGTTGATGGGCCATTTTGCCCATGGCCAGTTTGTACCAACTCCACATTGGCACCTGCCTGTTCGTGCATGAGCACCTGCCAGTGTAGACGCGCTCTTGTGGAAGACTTTTTGCACAAGAACTCTTCCGTGAAACAGTTCTTGCACAAGAAGCTGCCAGTGTAGACGTAGCCTAAGAATCACGCTTATTACCTTTCTAAGCTAGAAAAAGCTCAGAGCATCGTAATTGCCCCCTTGCTTAACTTCTCCGTTTCCCTCGGTTTGGATTGGTGGGAATTAGCGGATCATTTACTTCTAGAGGCAAAAGGCACGCCGTTTTTACAAGACACTCAAAAGGATGTGGGGAAGCGAGTTCTCCAAATAACACATGCAAATGGGGATATGATTAAAAATCTCTGGTGCTGAAAAAGAACTTAGTGCTTATCATTGGTGTGTTATTTTTACAGGTCTCCCACGTCTAAAGGTATATTGTCGATTATGCTTCACCCATGGAGAATTGTATTGGTATTATCCTGCATTTGCCTAATTGAAATGTTATTTATGTGTTGCTGGACGAAAAGAATGTTGGTTAAATAGCAACCACATGCTCAAATTGCTTCCCATAAAACAATTATAGCAGATACGACCCACTCAAGAGATGTTCTTGAGGGGCCCAAAGGGGGATATGTGGGCGTAAGGGTTTTATATCTTTTTATATTTGTATTTTAGGTTTAATATTGTAGTAATGTAATGTAACACATCTAACATTTTACCAGTTAAGCCCTTTAGTTAAATATACATCCAGGCCCCGCCCCCCTGCTGCTCCCAGTAGCCACAGTTTGCTGTTCCCAACCAACAGGAGCTGCCGGAAGTGGCGGTCAGCACGTCCCTGCTGTTCCCTCGCCTGCAGACACCAGCCCCACAGCTCCCCTAGGCCTGGAGCAGTGACCCACGGCCACTCGGAGCTGTGAGGGGTGGTGCCCGTGGATGGTCACAGACAGATTACGAAGACGGGCCGTGGGCTGCCCCTCACTGCCCTAGATCTCTAAAGCCCAATCTCTGCCTTGCAGAGGAGGAGAGTGGATACACCTCTGTGGGCGGGAGCTGGAGTCACTCCAAACAATAGAAGATGCTTTTTTTGCTGCAGGGCCCAGTCCAGGAGAAAGCCCAGCTGGTCCCATCACTAGCTGTGGGTCGTCCTGCCAAGCCCTTGGCTCACTCTTCCCCTGAGCCCTTCAGCCCAGGGACAGAGTCCAGGGAAACGCCCACAAAGGGAGAGTAAAGGACAACCCTACCTCCGAAACCCGCATCCCAGTTCCTGTTGGGGTCCACGCCGATGCAGGACGAGCCGGCGCGGACGGACCTGGTCTTACGCCACATGCGGTTCTGGGACAGAGGAGAATCGTTTGTCAGGGGGTCACCCTGAGAAGAGGGCTCTAGGCAGGGACTCGGCACTCCTGGATTCTCTTCGGGGCTCTGATGCTGATTTGCTGGATCACCTCGGGCAAATATTTCCCCCCTCCCACTCTTGGCAAACCTTTTGGTGCAAGCACCAGCTCTCGCAATGGGTCTGTGTGGAACCTCACACACTGATAGCCTGGCCTGGGTTGGTGTCTCCACGGTAATAGAGATGCTAAACAATAATGCTATGGAGAAGCAAGTGTCTGCAATCCGGGTAGGTCCGGTCCCCCAGACCTGCTCCCAGGGAACTTGCTTTGTTATCGCCAACTCCAGAGGCTCCTGGCAAACAGGTAATCGCCTGACCCAGCACATCTGGCAGATACAGCATTAGCCCTGGGAAAGTGAATCACAGAAGAGTCCCCAAAAAGATCTACCCGGCCGTCTAATCCATCGTTGTTCCTCCTGTAACCCCCACACCTGCTGGGGGCGATGCACCGAGACCGCTTGCTGTGACAATAGTGAGTCTGCTCTGCGGCCTTTGCTGAGAGCCAGCTGGCTTTTAGCTCAAGCTATAGAGCAGGGCTGGACAAGATATGGCCCGGGGGCCGGATCCGGCCCTCCAAGCCTTCTAATCTGGCCTGTGGCCCACCCCACTGGCCCCACAGGCAAGGAGCAGCCCCAGGGCTTAGAGCAGCTGGCTGTTCCATCTGCCTCTCTGTGCCGGGATGGGGGAGGGGGAAACTTCATACACTGCCAACCTGCTCCTTCTTCCTAACCCTCTCAGACCCTGCACCCTCCCCGGCACCCAAATCCTCTACCCCGAGCTCCCTTTCACACCCAGCCTCCATCCCAGACCCCCGC